TCCGGCTTGTTGCCAATCATAGGCTCATCGAATGGCTGGCTGGTTGGCTTCGGTTCCCCTACCGGCTTGTTGCCAATCATACATTCCCCCACTGGCTCCACCTCCTCAGCCGGTGGAGAGGTTGTTGGCTGCGGTGGGTTGAGAGGAACAAAGAACAGCTCCTCACCTGTCTCTGTGAAGCTGCCACCTCGCAGCACAGAGGGTGGCACACTGGTCCTGTGCAAAGGGGGTAGTCCATCTGAGTAGGTTTCAAGTGGTTGAGTCTCCGGCAAATTTGTAGTCAAGTCTTGCGCAGCCTGGCTAAAATCAACCATTTGTGTTTCCACCTCGTTCAGCCAACAGGCCGGAGAGGACAAGGGCCCATCAACCAAGGTCTGCAGAGTCAATGACTCTTCAGGCTCAGCAGTAGCAACCCAACCATTTGGAGCTCCTCAATATCCAGGAAGCGAAACAAAGTGAGTTGGTACTTTTCCCCATTTCGCCTTAAAGAAGCACAACTGACAGAAAAGGGTTTCCTTTACCATTGTGTCTTTCACCCCAATACTTGTCACACTCCCGTCCTTCTGCAACAACATCTGCTGCAGCAACGCTGGTAGACGGCTCACAAGCTGGCAGATCCTTCGGCTTCCCATCCTCCAAGTTCATGGTGTCCAGCTTATGCTGAGCAGCTTCCAAGTAGGCCTGGTAGCGCTTGTAGGCTTCACGTGCAGACAATGCCTGTGTTGGCAGTGCATGAGAGGAAGGGGCAAGATCCTTGACAGGACTGTCCGAGATCTCCACCAAAGGAGCGGCCCTGAGAGAATCCCATTCAGCCAACAGGTTTGGCCTGGAAGCAGCCCTGGCAAGTCTGCAATCAAACTCCAAGCGGTCCATGTTCTTGGCATCACCTCCATGACTGCACAAACCAGTTTCCACCGCTTCTGCACCAGAGCTTTCATTTGGGAGATCATGGGTGGTCTCAAGTCCCCCATAACCATCCTCAAGCATCTCGAGAGGGGTCATCTCGTCCTCAAGAGGGTTCATTTTGTCCTCAATGCTGTCCTCAACCTCTCCAGTCTTCATCTCACATTCCCCAGCTGAAGTTGAGTCGCCGTTCTCCTCCATGTGAGCCTGGCAGGGAAGGGCAAGGTGAGTTGATAAAAAGAACGCAATGAAAACCCTTTTCTGCTAAATGGGTGGGAGAGGTGGGTAACCAGTAACCAGTCACGCCTTTAACTGCTTCATGTAAGCTCCCTTGAGCACATCGAAGATGCTGGAAAGCTCTGATACCTTGAGCCACCGGATGGACGCAGTATACCCATGTCTTACCCATGTATAGCCCCCCACAACGCTAGGAAGTACGAACAGTTAAGAAAAAATGAACAAGCATTGGACGGTGAGCAAGTTGCCCTTGTGTTGGTGTACTTCATCACAGGCCCCCGAAATTGAGTCACCATTTTGTGAAGACTCCAAGCGTCATTGTACGCCCAAACTTTCATCCGCACATCTGACACAAGCTGGGCGTACACTGGATGCTGGCTGTAGTAGTGGAAAGTCATTTTGGAGATCACTTCGATTGGGTCAGCACCTAGCCGACCTCGGCGAGCCATGTCCTTTGCTAAACAAAGGATGACCTGCGAGTTGTGAATTGTGTTTGCTCTTGTTGGCAAGCACTCTGGTTCACCCTTCTTTTCTTCCTCCCCCTTCTCACTTTCCCGCTTCTCACTTCCCCCCTTCTTGACGTCAGCAGCTTCTATCAGCCGCCCCACCCTTTTCACACGCTCTTTCAGGATTGGACAGTCCCACCAATCCTCAGCAACCCTCTCAGGCTGGTCACAGGTGGGCCCATCTGGAAAACGCTTCCCAGGCATGGCTAGCGCACTGTTTGCTAAACCTTCCAAACTGAAAGATGCTAAAAGCATCTAAAAGCATGGGTAAAGGGTAGCGGACATGGTAGGATGACTCAACCCACGCTGTCACACACACACACACACACACCGAACACAGAAGAAAAACAAAGGCAAGCTGTGCAAAAGCAGTGGAAAACACTAAGCGGCATCGTTCCTGAATGTCAAAAGTCTGACCTAGATATCAATCTCCGAACACCGAGTCAGGGGAACATCCGTGAGGATGAGGAGACATTGAAAAGAGTTGTCAACACTTCTCAGCTCATGGAAGCTCTTGCGATCCACCGAAAGCATGGTCACCCAAAGACCTGGCCTCCAGCTCAATGATCGTTGCGGTCTTTCGCGCCACCCACCACATGTGGCAGCAGCGGCAAATGCTTGTGACTGATACCCCCAGTCACGACCCCAAAACCCTTAAGTAGCACACACTTCCTTGCAGTGGCTCTTGGTGCAAACTGATTGAATTTGCTGTAGTGGTTCCATCAACTGAAAGCAATCACATAGTCTGTAATTAGTAATTATTTTTAATGCTATTTCTTGACATTCTCTTTCTTGAACTCCTCGAGATCGCAAGATTCTTGTGCATTTCTGCAGCCTTACCAAGAGCCTACTTTTTTTCTAGGCGAATGGCTTTTCTAGGCGAACCTAAAAAAAAGACATCGAACCAGGCTCCAGGTATTTGTTTGAAGCAATACGATTGATCGATGTTCATCTCTCGGCGGAGCTCCATGGAGCGAGGTGACCTGGAATGCCTGCATCACGGCGTGCAGCCAAGGGCAGAGTGCGCAGAACGCCTTGCAGATCTTCGAGGAGTTGGAAGCGGAAAAGACCACTTTAAGCACCGTTCCTTGGATGGGATGAAGCAATCAAGCAAGCACACTTCCATTCGTGTGGATGGGAATATTGGTTGGGAGTTGCCGGGATGTTTGGGAATTTCGATATCTAAGAGGAGGATCCTTGGCTTAGCATTGTTGATTGACTTGATCACATGTACAACAGGTTCCCCTCTGCTGTAGCATGAACTGCATGACATTTTGCAGCACCAGTTCGAATTTCTATGATCTTCTCATCATACGGATTCGGGCCCTAAACCACGCTTCCAGCTGATGGGCCAAATCGGGAGGCCCGACCTTCCACCGACCTTCGCCACGAGGCCGTGGTGAATGCGGCGCTGGCCGCGTGCGTTACGACGGCGGCCTGGGAGTTGGCGCTGCAGCTGTTCCAGCGACTGCAACGGGGATGGGATCTCCAGGTGCGGAGGGCGGAGGAAGAGCGCAGGATAGATGGAAGGTAGTAGACCTCAAGAAAAAACCGTTGTGTACGGTCATGGAGTCATGGTTGTGATCTGTTTTACAGATTGGTTGAATATGGTTGAATCGTGTTTTTGAATGGCCAAACCTAAGAAACATGCGGGGCAAGATCCTGCAAGCAACAGACATCTCCTGAAATCTCTCTTTCCGGGGTCTTGAAATTCTTCTGCTGTGAGTGTCTCCTCTCACCTTGACTGCAGGGCGCAGCCTTTGCAGATACCGTTTCCTTCAACACCACTGTGGCTGCGTGCGCTGCTGCTCAGGTGGGCGGCAGTCAGCCCATTGGCGGTGCTTTCGTGATGGTCGAGACAACCCATTAGCTGGTGGAAGTTGAAGATGGGCATTGACACCTGACCCTGATGTCTTTTGTCAAGAAAAGCAAGGGAGAATCTGATTTGTACACAAGTTTTGGACTATTTTGGACTATAATTCCTTTGTCCCTGTGTCTTCCTCTCCTGGCTGCAAGCAGCGTAGCTGCTCAAGAAAGATTCCGTTCTTCGTCATACAAAGGCATGAGTTCCGCAAATGGATGTCTTGCCATGCATGGCTATGAGGGCATGGTTGAACATGTAAAATTCTCACATTGGATTCACCTCGCCCCGCCTGTCAACCTTCGAAATTTGTTTTGTTCCAATTCTTCCCAAAACAACCAGAAAACCCTGAACAGCATTTGGGTCTAATAGTTCTTCTTCCATTCTCTCCAAGAATCTTAGAAATATAGTTCTCCCATGTAATTGCCCCCCTACCAGGCTTGGGAGATGGCACTCTCCCTTGCCAACGACCACGGCGACCCTTTGGACGAGATCTCTTTGGGTGCAGCCCTTGCTGCCCTGCGCGACCGATGGAAGGAGCGCTTCCGACTCGCGCCCAGCGCTTTCGGGCATAGTTCATCTCAAGATCTGGGAGATCCTATAGATACCAAGGTCTCCCAGATACTATAAAGCGATACTAAAGCTATATCCAAAGGTCTTAAGTATAGATTGCCTTGAGTATACTAGGGTCCTAGCTTGCAAAAACTATAGTTCAATGTCTACCATTCTTTTGCCGGCCACGACCGGCCCGCCCTTCTGCTACAGCAGCAGCTTCAACGTCACGTGCGCCTCGATCCGTTTTGCCGCCGGTCAGTGCTGGATTCGATTGACATTCGATTGGAATGAATGGAGTTGCAAGTTTGGACTTGAAGTCCCAACTGGACAAATTCATGCTTTAGATGTAAACATCTGTGAAAACATGTGTGTGTGTGTTCATCCTTTGGATCGGTGTATTGATGCAGCGAGCCATGAGCAGCTCAGACACCGATTCCTCACAAGCCGTCGAATCGGTTCCAAAGGCCGGCGACGCGATGTACTTGGTGCGTGAATTTCAAGCGCAGTCGACGATCTTTGGGAAGATGTCGGTGGTCATCTATGGTTTTATCATCATCTTTGGTGGCTTCACCACCATCTTGGGGATGGTGGCACCGATTCTTTCGGCTGATTGCATGGCAGCACCCTTTCTTTCAAACAACAGTGAGCGAGAAGCAGATCAACTGATTTGGTTTAAAGCCATGGGCCGTATGTGCGGAGCTCTGGGCACCATCTTTCTCTTGGCAGTTTACATGCTGGGACATTCGCTGAAATCCTTGCTGCTCTTGCTCTTGTGGGGATGGCTGAATTTCATGAACTTTGCTTTCGTGATCCCGGCGGACCTTCGTGCGGATGGTGGATCCAAGGAGACCGAGACCTGCATGCGGAACGTGAGGGTGCAGGTGGGAGGCTTTGCGGTTTTAGAGGCCGTGGCAGTGCTCTTCGCTTGGTTGGAAGAGAGGTCCAAACCTGGTGATTCCAGAATGGAGCCCCTCAACGCCTAGAGGATGGACTGACTGGGGGAAAGAATCATCCCCACAGTCTTCGGGTTCAGACCACGTGGCGAGGAGATGTGGGGCATTTTTACTGCTTTTCTGCCCTGTTTGGAAGAGACTTTGGAGCCAAGTTTTTGGAACCAAAGTGTGTGGAATCTCTCGACGACATAGAAGAACTGTGTTGTCTTGGAAGCCGGATTTTCGAGATAGCAGATGCCCGGCACAAAACACATGCAAGTTGCCGTGTTATTGAGCTGCACTGAAGCGTGTCACGGCCAGTCAAGGTCCGCTGTTCATGGGCTGTGGAAGTTTTGTTCAGGACATTATTGTACGTTGCTGCGTACTTGGATGTTGTTGAACAAGAGCATTGTTGTTGAACAAGAAGCAACATGAGCAATTCTGAGCAATCATGAGTCTTTGTCATCGGTTCCATGTTCGTCTCCTTTTTTCGGGTACGATGTTACTGGAAACTTCACCTGGAAGAGGTCAGCATAGAGCAGAGGCTTTGCCATGCCAAAGGCACTGGAAGAAGCACTCGAGACAAGCGGGTGACCCAAAGACTGCCAAGAGTCCACTGCCAAGAGGCTACGATGAGACTCTTCATTTGATGATGTTTGACCAATGCTGAGACTCCATTCATCATCAAATATCCATGACATCCCGTATGGAGCCAGGCCAGAGGTTGTTTTCTTTGTCCCTCCCCCCCCAAGGTCCCGGGGAGACCCAAATAAAACATCGAAGACACAAAGACAGCATACGATCCCACTGTACTCATCATACGATTTCCACCTCATCACTCCGGTACACCATGCCATGCCGCGGCTTAGCAGAAACTCACCGCAGGAGGTCTTGGAGCTCCTCGGCCGCGAGTCCGTGGCGTCGTCGTCGGCCGTGCGGCGCGCCTTGATTTCAGCGGGGCAGCAGCCCAGCCGGTCCGAAAAAGGGGGAGGCGAAGTGAAGCGAAGGCCTAAGAAGCTGTTGGAGCGAGTTTTCGGGTTGGAGCCTGATGGATCAGCGGCCCACAATGTGAGCGACTGTGAGGATGTGTCAGGCCCAATTTTTTAGATGGATCAGCGCTGATTTTTTGAATGTTTGGATACCAATTTTGATGCTATCAGCACAAGAACGCAGCAGAGGTCGTTCTTTTCTGACATAACAAAATAACTGTAACACATGTCATGTGTGCAGTATAGATCCTATATATAGTGATCTTAGATCTTATCATCCCAAAGCAGACACCATGCAGACACCAGCCCCAAATAGAAATCAAAGAGGATGGCAGAGGACCGACTGCTCCACCGACTGCTCCACCCAGCGCCCGACTTCTCACCATGGCTCCTCCGATCGCCTCGAATTGGGCGCTGCTGGGCCTTGGCCGTGCGCCGGCGCCTGGAGTCGATGCGTGTAGCGCACCGAAGGCACCGGTTTCGGCGGCGTTTTCGGCGGGCGCAGCAGGTGAAAGGATGGTGAAAGAGATAGAGAGAGGGGAAACACAATAAAGAAAAAGATAATGTTTCCAATTTCCAACTGTTACATAACTTTCTTAGTGTATGCTTTCTGAGACTCCTGACTCCTGACTAAAGAAACAACAGTTCTCGAAAACTGTCACCCTCCGAGTGACAGATGGATTATAGAGATCTCCACCTACCTTGCAGTCCAAGGGCGAGCGTTTAAGCACTTTATCACATTTTCTTCCCTCTCCTTTCCTTCTCTCCTAGCCTCTGCTTTGCTCATCTCTTCTCTCTTCTCTCTTTTATCCTTTTGACTTTCTGTTGATGTTTCTTCTCGTTACTTCTTCTGACTGCCTCCCTCTCGTCCTTTTCTTGCAGGTGACCAAGAAGAGACCTTTGGTGACCAGACCGAAGACGAGCCGGACCAAAAAGGCGCGGAAGAAGAGTCAGACGACCTCCTTGGCGTCCATGATCCTTGGCGTCCGAAGCCACCCGCTCGCTGTTCAACCCCCACACGGTCCCTCGCTCAGTCCCGACCGAAAGACACAGACACAGCGGATGTCAGGAGTGAAAGACTGTATGCTACGGGTTTTTGTCTTTTTTTTTTTTTTCAGAAGGCGTCGCAACACATCGAAGCTGTCATTTTATGAGATGCAAGTTGGCGGAAGCTCCTCAGAAAGCTAGATAGATCGTTTGTCTCATTAATGTTCCATTCAGTTTGAGAAGCAGCTTGCGTTTCTTCCGGTCGTTTGCGATCGACCGAGGATTCAGCTGGAATTGAGACGCTGGGATATCATGGACACTCGAAACACATTTCATCGTGTAGTAGTTTTCTATTCTTCAGACCGAGAGACCTACTAAACTCAACAACCTTTTGCGTTGTACTGGACATCTTATAGCTTTCGTTTTTCCTGCAGGACAACTGAGCCAACATATCATTGAACACAAACAAACCAGCCTAAAACGCTCAAAGGGGCGGGGACTGCAAACGACTGCAACTCTTGAGATGAGCAAGGACCGTTTGCTGGAGACCTATGACCAGCACGTGTCACCGGTGCTGGGTGGCAACGACACGGGGCGCCAGCAGCAGAAGCGGAGGCGGCACTTGGAAGCTTGGACGCTTGGACGACGCCATGCGAAAACACAGGGGTGACGTGACGTAACCAAAAAGAAAAGGACGGTGCAAACAGATAACATATGCAAAACACATGGATGTATGATGTATGTGATAACTTTTAGCCGACAGGTTTGGGTCATCACTTGGTAATCCTGTACTCTGGTGCACACTGAAAGATTGAAAAGACATGAAGATGCTGGGGTGACTTGAAATTCAGCCGATGGCCTAAGTGTTTGTGGGTGAAGACAAGGTTCTTTCAAATTGAACGGTTCTGAATATGGGAACCGCGATGGATACTGCATGCACCTGAAAGTCTTTTAACACATTTGGTTGTTCTTTGAGTTCCAAAACACGAAACAGAGAGAATCACGGTATAAAATCTCGTTTTGTTTTTGCATACATTCCTTTGAACAGTTTTGGGAGCTCAAAACCTTCCTTTGAGCAGTCCTCCGAGTCCGCCCTCCCTCCAAAGGCTCTGGTCGCGCGCGTTTGCTCCGCTGCTGCCCCTCGAGCCGCCCACCGCCGCAGCGATCGCGCAGGGCGACGCCGCGCTGCGGCAGAAGTTGTGCAATGCGGGTCTCAGCAAGAAGGCAGGGAGGATCATGGTCCATGGTGCGTTTCCATGTCAGTGTTGGGAGTGTTTTGTTTCCGCAAACAAAAGGGTACTCGGAAAGCGTCGCCAATTGTATGAATCATAAGCCGGATGAAGCTGGGGGTCCCCCCCAAAGGCATGGAATCTGATTCGTTGTGAGATTCCTCAATGTGTTTGATTCCCTATGTGTGTTTGTGTTTGATGTCTTGCCCTCCACGTCCTCGTGTCCGATCTGTCCCATGCGTCCGATGGGCGCCCCAGGAGGCGAAGCGCCGCCTCCAGCAGCTGGCGCGGGTCCTGTCCGGCGACGTGGCTGTGGCCGAGGGCGCGGAGGACGGGGCCGAGGTGGCGGTGGTTTCGGAAAGCCACAAGACGCTTGGGCAGCAGCTGGTTGGATGGAAGAACACATATCACGGTACATAAAGAGGCTATAAACTGTAAACTTGAAAACACTTGAAAGCTATTTTATACTATTATACCATTATTTGCAGTGTTATTTGTTTGTGTGTGTTGCTTCTTATGACTAATTCGTAGGGCCTATGATACAGGGTCGCACGTATGTATGCGTTGATGTTAGCACTGGATGAATCTTGAGGATCAATGCTCACTTCGGCTAACGATCAGTGCTCACTTATAGATTTCCGAGGATGACTTTACGCTGTGGCAAGCGGAGTGTCAAAGTGCTTCCGGAGTATTTCTCCAAGTTGAAGAAGCTGCATGATCGGCGAGGCAAATTCCACCAGGCAGATGGACTGATGCACAGACTTGCATTGAGCTGTAGGGGACTGCAGTGGCTTTAGACTGCAAGTATGACGTGCTTGTAGCTCATGTTGTGTGTATATTGTCGCATGATTAGCCATTGCTATTGCTCAGATGTTGAGCCCGATGTTCAAATCTGGAGCTGACTTCCGCTTGGTTTGCAAGAGAAGATGTCTGAGGCAGCTTTCCTAGTGCTGGCGAGATACCGCATCTTGCAAGTGCATGAGAAAGGTCAGGGTTTGTCAAAAGAGTGTCTCCATGGCACAGTTGCTTGAAGGCAACCTTCCTATAGAGACCCTTAAATACATGGTTCTTTCTTGACACACACCGAACTCCTTTTTTGGTTTCTTTTTCGATTAGAGGCCTGGCTCCTTTGAATCTGACTCCAAATGCTGAAAACACCTGGGCCTTCGTTGCCCATCGGCTGGACTTTCTTCATCCTTCCGCCCCGTCTCCTCCTTCCCCAGGTGGTGGCAACCAGGGCGCCATTCCGGCCGCGGTCTTCGCGGCCTTGCGAGACTGGGCCAAGCCCATCGAGCCCATTGAAGCCTTTGCTTCGCCTTTGAAGCCAAGCCGAAGAAGGAAACTTTTTGTCAGTAGAGGTTGGCTTCAATCAAACAATTGAAAGCTTTGCAGCCAAGCCAGCTTTTATCAGTTGAAGTTGGCTCTTCAATAAAGCCCTTTGCAGCCAAGGCAGTTATGTAGAGGTTGAACTGCACTGCACTACACCATATACAGGGTGTTCAACCTTGACTGAATATTTCATGCATGTTTCATTCAAAGAAATGTGGACAACTCTTTGAAGATCCATGTTTGGGTTCCAATGACATGGTTCCATATTATGGTACCAAACATACCTTCATGAATCATCACATCAGAACGATCCCAATTGTCCGGGTATCCAAACTTTGAGTCCGTCAACCCTTGAGCGGCATGAACGTCATAGGATCTTCAATGAACAGGATTTGAAACTGAAATATGTTCCATGATGTTTTTATTCAATAAAAAACAAGACAAAAACATACTTCAGCAGGCTTCCGGGGGTGTTGGATGTCAAAAGTTCAGGGGGTACGGCACTCTCAAGAGATCTCCATTTGGAACGGATCCATGCGCCACATGGAGCGCAGCTGTTCTGAGGAACACATTGGCTGGACAAGGACTCCTGCCCGCATGAGATTGCATGAGATATCATGAGATCAAGGAGTCACGGGAAGCAATGAAGAGGGGGCCGTTTGAAGTCTTCGATTGTTTGCCAGGTCTGAAAGAAGATCGAAGTGTTCCACGCGGCGCGCGCAGCTTTTTGAGGAACCAACGCGAAGCAATCAAATTGGGCCCGCCTTAAGGTCCCCCATCTTACTTACAAGCATTCCCTTCAGGTCAATTTGTTTAGATAGAAAAGGCTCCGGTGGCCGTACGCTGCCAAGGCTCTCGTGACACAATGGACCGGACCTCGCGCGGGACCGGACGAATGTCCATCACCCAGGAGGTTATCACAGCGCCTTCGGCGACACGGACGGTTTCTTTGGCTCCAGAGGGTCCTTCTTCGAGTCCCAGATCCAGGAAGGCCTGGCGCCAACTCCACGGCATGCAAGCAGCTGTTTCTTCGATGCATAATTCATGTGATTCGCCAATAAGTCAAGACTTGATGTTTCCTTTGAAGGTCAGTGTTCCTTTGGTTTGGAAGTCGGCGTTCATTCCATCTCGTAGTAAGTTCAGTGCAAATCAATCAGCTGAAGCCAGACAAGTTCTGGGCCGTTCGAGATCACAAACACCATGTTGTTTCCCATTTGCTCCTTCACTATTATATGATGCACCCTCCCCACTTAAGTACCTCCTTGCTTCCTCGCTTTCCTTTTCACCTCACCGGAAAACCCCTCCCTTCGACAGGTGTGGTGGAAGTGAATCCTCCCTTCGACGAAGCTCTCGTGCTACGCACCGCCGACGTCTGCCAACGTCGCCTGGAAGCCGCCGCAGCCGGACGCTTCGGCGCACGAAAAACGACCTCCGCCGAAGACGTGCCCGATTGAGGATCACATCGTGGTTTTGTTAAGGGCCCATGCACTAAATAGTTATTCCAAGGGCCCCCATTATCCCATGCACATCGGGTTTTTGTTCAGGTTTTTCTTTTTTATTCGTTGAGAAGTGCAAGACATGTTGAACCGAATTGGCTGAGGAAAGAAGGCCTTGGTGTTCCTGATCATCATCCCAGAGACTGCCTCTCAGCCAGGTTTTGATGACCTTTTCTGGGCACCTTCATTAGCTTCATTTGTTCAAAGTCCAAACAATGAACCCACCAGGCATGGCAGGCAGGTAGTCCGCAGGCAGCCAGCACACGACTTGGCAGTCACAGGCCGAAGAGCACTCTATACCTTCACCTCAACACTTCCGTACTCGCAAATCCTCTCGAAGCCGGTTTCGCAGTGAGGATTGGCCGGGTCATCGAGCCTTTGAGGAGTCGAAGTTCAAGAAGTGGTCCTTGTCCCTGCCGAGCGGACATCATTTCTACCAAGTTGGAGACTTGGCCATACTTTCTCTTGCATGTCATTTTGCTCAGGTGCGAGAAGAGATGTCATCTCATTACATTGATTGAACAGATTTGACACATTGGAAGCGTTGCAGAGAGAAGTATCTCTTCGACTGATTGGTAAATCTTGAGCTGAACAGTTCGCCCTTTCTTTTGCAGAGATTGGTGGGTTCGAGCTCTCTTGCCACGTTCTCCCATTTTCGCCTTCCACTGCGCCATGCGCTGCTCTCACTTGGCAAAGTTCTTGGTGGCAGGGGCGCTGATTTGGTATCTGTCTGGAACCCGAACGGAGCCTTGGGCTTTATTCAGTTTTCTCAAGGATTTTACTTGGGTAGAGGTCAAAGCTAAGCAAGATGGTTTTCTAGGTAAGAAAGACACACGATTGCAGCCACCGAGTCGAGCTCTACTTCTCGGTTGTTTTTGCGTTTCTTTTTGTTTGAACGGATCACACGAATTGGGCAACTCAGGAGAAGTGGCCTGTGCCATCAAGCTCGCCACGGCAGCTGGCACAGAAACCTTCCCCAAGTTCGACCAGTGAGGCCCGTACATGTCAATTTCAGTGAGTGAGGGACAACACGGTCACAATTGTGTGTGTTTCCCATGATGCGGTATATAGTTACAAGCGTTGCTAGTGACATGGGCACGGCACTATTTGTTTTGCTCGCTTTTGCTGTTGATTTATGGTGTGTGTGTGTGTTTTGAGATGTCGTGCTGATAGACTGCTGCTTGTTTGTTGAGAGACATACGTCTGACACCCAGATGTTCGATTGCAGGCAGAGAACCTGAACCTCGAGGTGAACGCTTCGCAGAACCGTGACCTCGATGTGAACGCTTCGCAGAAGCTTCTGGAGCAATGGCGTCCCTTTTGGAGCCAATCCATTCGAGACCTGCTCCATGAAGGGTTTGAAGTGGTCAGGAATTCGAAAGCATTGGATGCACAGAGCAGGTCAAGCAACGTCAAGGAAACGTGTGAAGAGCTGCTCGAACAAGAGAAGTACGTCGAAGCCTTCTCACCTTGGTGCCAATATGAATTGCCAGAGTCCCAAAGATGCTTTGACATCATGGACCGTGGCACATCCATTTGGCTTCTGGGCTCGATGCTACGAGACTGCATCAAGGATCCGACGGCTTGGAGCCAGACATGGCAGGTCCGGCGATGGGGCGGGCTGCTGATGCCGGTTGGTCCAACTATAAGCCATCTCTCACGCACACAAACTAGTAGCCAGACTAGCGTCTATAAGGGGTGATTTGGCAACGTAGAGCCTAGGACTTCTTTCTAGACCATTTCATCAGCAAAACGGCGTCTAAGAAGTGAAGCAGGCCAAAACCTTTGGAGGCCCATGGCGGTGCCCCGAACAACAGCATCCACTCAGTGAAGCACAACCTGCTTTTCACCTTGCAAACAACATGTGAAGCAAATTATATTTGGTGCAACAGCTGTGTCACTGCTTCTTTCCCAGACACTGCAGATACCTTTTTAGGTTGCCCCTCTGTCGTCCATCACCGGCGCTGCCTCAAGATGTTATCCGTTAAATTTTTCAAGCTAGCTTCATCAACCCCAGCGAATGGTCGGCTGACATTTCCTCACAACAAAGCTTTCCATCCGCAATCCTTTTCATCGAGCCATGCAGCCATAAACTCGTCGAATGTGCAATCCTTCCATCCTTTCCTTCTCTCTTTCAATTTTTACACCCACGTGCCCCATGTGTAGCAAACTGTTTCCTATGTGTTTGCACAGCATGCTTCAGCGGCTTCAGCGTGTCCAGTGTTTTCGTTGTCGAACACCATCATTGTTTGATCGTTTTGCTGCATGAGTTGAAAAGCGTTACATGGTGCATGTCGGCAGTAGCGTTTCTGTTCTCAGGCCATTCCATTGGAATGTGGATTCTTGAGATTCCAAAGGATGATTTTTTAGAGTCCGGGGTAACCTCTCCAAGACTCACAGATCTTTGTTGGATTGCGAATGCGACTCCCATGCCGGTTTGTAGCTTGTGAGACATCAGGCTAAAAGAAAGCGAATCAGTTTCTCGGGGATGCGACCTGGGAATTGGAATCTGTTCGGCATTCATTGCATTCATTTTTGATCCATTTGCTGCTAGCTTCTATAAGAACATCGGAGACCCTCCCCCCTATGTGAGGGGACGCTCTACACTCCTACTGGCCTTCGTTTCCCCGCTCTCAGGTAGCCCTGCATCAAGGGCTGTCACTTGAACCATTTCGAGCCAGAGGAACCTACCAAAAATCGAATCTGGACAAAGGCTCGTTGGAGACCTAGTGGCAGGGACCTTTTCAAAGTCCAGCCTTTTTTATCAGGCCAGCCGCTATGGCTCCAAATCTAGCCGCATATATTTCACGCCCTTTTGCGCAAGTAGAAGCGCGTCGCACATTTGTTAAAATTGCACAGAGATCCGCAGAGGCATCTCAAAATTCTACAAAAGGTTGCAAGAGCCCTTCTTGCAGGCGCTTCTGATGATATATTGTGTCACTTTGCACCAAACAAACAGCGTCAAGTCTGCCAGTAAAAACTATTGTGGCTGCTTGCTTGCGAGCGAAGAAGAGAGCGGAGTCACAACAAGTGATCAACAGCCTCAAATATTGATACTTAATGCCATCATGCATGGACAGCAGGTTCGGTGGTGTTCTGACAGCTCTGTGAAGCAGGTTCTGACAGAGTTTTTCGCTGCCAAATCTGAGATTGTTGGGAGACCTCAAGCGCCTCCCTGCTGTTGTTGCTGTTCCGGCTGTAATTGCTGCGCATTGCTGCAGGCTGTCCAACCTTTGATCGCAAATGAATGAATGAGTTCAGGTCCTGCACTGCACTGAAGATTCCTGCACTGAAATCGCTTGAAGATTCCTGCACCGCACTCATGACATCTCAACATGGCAGGCCTGCCGTCAGCAGATGGACTTGGCCTTGCCTTTCGAGAAGATGGATTTGGCAGGTGCTGAGGCATTACAGATGGCTTGTGTCACTTGGCCGGAGCAGATTTGTTTTTAATAGTGGAAAATAGCACGTGATATTCATGATTATCCTGGAGATTCCGACAGCCCAATTGGTTGAACCATGCAGTAAACGAGTGGATTTTCGAAAGTGCTCGGCACGTGCATCAGGTGCGTAGTTGCCATGACACGTCTTCATCGGACTGCCCACAGAAGTTTGGACCCTTGGGCCTTCAAGAGAGCAAGGAGGACGAAGAGTTTGGGAAGAGATTTATCCAATGTGACCGCCTTTTGTTCAACTTTACTGGCTACGATCGATCCAGGCTCCAGGGTGAAGAAAGTCTGTTTGCAGTGGAGCATTCCTTCCATCCTATACAATAAGTGGATCTAGAAACGCTCTCAAGTCAAATTCCAAAGTCAAACTGAGTGGACATGAGCGGAATTGAGTGCTGTCATCTCATGTTTGTGTTTGAAAATAATATATACAAAGTTCAACTCCTAACCGGGAGTTGCACAGGCACAGTGATCCAGAAGTTCCCCTCAGTGAGTGGATCTCTGGTGGCTATTGTGGAGCAGATTATGCGGTTCCTCTTTGTTCATTTCATTTCAACGTCAGAGGCATCGAGATCGCCTCCGAGGTGGACAAGGATGCTCGCTTGACCACTCGGTACCACTACGACCATTTCGTGTACGGGGACTTTTGCACAACCAACGATGCAGGATTGAATGTGACCCAGCCGTTTTTCAAGAAGCTTGACGATGACTTTCAGGGGGATCCCAATGACATTATAAGATACTTTGGTTGGAGGTGGGGTCTGGAGGTTGCGGGTGTCCTTCATCGAGCCATCGACCAATTTCTGCACTACAACGACAGTTCAGTGCCAGAGGTCTACCCAGGATGGCATGGATGCCAGAACATCATCGACCATGGGATCCAATCGGCAAGCACCGACGAATCGGACGTCCAGTCCTGCAAAGATGTTTGCAACGCCAATTTGCATTCAGCTTATTGGCAATTGTTAGTCGTTCCCTTCCTTTCCCGCCAATGGACTCTCGGAACCTGGCAGATCTCCGGACCTCTTTTTCTCCTTTTTCTCCTTGGTTGCCTAGTGATTGTCATCATTTTTAGGTGGATTTTGGAGAGATGCCAGAGCGCACTGGACCGAATGGAAGATGCTGAAGGTCCTGGTGGACGTGGAGCACAAGTGTGCATCTGTTTGATGATGTGCTTCGTTGTCGTTGTCGTTGGAGCCTTGATGTTCTCAATCTTGATGGTTTCAATTCTGACTGTCATTTTAATTTGTGCTGCTTGTGTTCTCTTGGAGTTTCTGCTGCGGATTGCCTCTGGGCACGGCACAGCTTGGGTGTGCTTGAAAACATACCTCTTTTGGGAAGCAGCAGACGTTCGATGGCAGTACACTGCCGGGGCCGTTGGCCTGATGACAGCAACAATCTTGGGTAGTTGCTGCTACTCCAGCAAGGCTTCAGGTGCTTCAGATTCTTCAGATGCTGGTTCTGCAAAGAGTGCTGTGCGCCATCTTCTTTGTGCTCAGTTTCTTTGCATTTTGCTTCCCTGCCTTGCCATGTTAGTGCTTGAGAAGTTGGGGTGGATGCTGCCATGGTATGCCATGCTGCCGCAGTACGCTACCGACATCGAGCCCTACATCGCGGCACTTTGCACATTCCTTTTGGGCCTCAGCGTTTTTCTCGTATCTGAGTGGTGCCTGGGGCACTACCCTTCTGATATCATGAAAGCAGTCCAAGAGATGCATGGCAAAGGAATGGTATTTGACATTTTCATGGACAACTCTCAGGCCTTTGGCTTCTACCTGATGGGTCAACCATACTTCGCCCTTGCCCAAGTCTCGGGCGTTCTCGGCAACGGATTCATGACCATCGTTGCGCCAAAGTTGGAATTCTCAACTTTGACAAGAATTATGGCTGTGCCGTCAACAATAGCGGCTTTGTTGTTTCCCATTCTGGGTGCGGTTCTGGGTGCGGTTCTGAGTGGGTTTGGTTTGATTCACTTCGGACCCTTCGGACTCGCCTTTGGCCCTCCTTGGCTTAGCCCTTTGGAGTCCGGGTTTGCAGTTGGTGGACTCATTGGAGTGGCCTATGGATTGGTGGTGTTTCTAGGTCCGTTCCTCCTCATCACCATAGCTGCCACACGCAGGAACTTCCGAGAGTTTTTGCTAGCTGTCGTCCAAGCCGATTTGTTCCCATTGATCTGGAAATGTCATGGGGAGCCGGAATCCCAAGAGCTTCTTTTCAAGAAAGCTGCGGAGGCTAGCGGAGAGGGCACCTTGAGCCTCTTAGTTGGCTTGACAGCCTTGTTCAAGGCCAGATTGGGAAACGGCAGTAGCTCACTGTTGGCTCTTTTCCAGCTCTTGGCCAATGTCCTATACACCAGCTACACACTGTCGGAAGGCCTTGTCAAAGGAGAACTGGCACAAGCCGCGGACCTGTGTGAGCACAGGATTAGGACCTTTGCCAAGAAGACCTCAAGAGCCGAGACGTTCTACCAACGATGCGTTGTCCGCTTCCGAGGATTGTTTCCAATCGGTGATTGTGTCGTCAAAGGACGACTGATAGGAGAAGACAGAGCCTCACGAGAGACATATCTACGGCGCAGGTGTGAAGGCCTAGCACTCCTGCGCGCATCAGAGGTCTTAGCAACAACAGTGGCCTTCGTGTTGATGGCATCCTCCTTCAATTTTCTGAAAGCTGGAACATTTTTCTGTGGTTGCGGTGCAGTTTTTTCAGTGCTGAGCACGTTGGTCTTGGGCAACCGCTTCACGTGGTCGCTTCTCCTGCCATTTACACCCGGACAAGCGCCTGCAACAATGCCAACCAGCGGACAGTTTGAGGTTGAGATTGTCAGCCGCCTTGCGACATCCCTGCTAGCATGGTTGGCTATGCTTTCGGCATGGCCCTTTGGACGGGGAGCTTACGGCTTTCTTGAGAAAGTAAAGCAAGCTGCCACCCGGCACAAATCAACAGGAACAGCAGAGTTATGGCAGGCCTACATCATCCTCCTCGGTATCAGCTTCGGGTTCCTTGCCTGGCCCATTTGCGCTTGGTCGACGTGGAAAGTGATCCAAAACCGGCAAGAATGGTTTGCAGAAGACTCGGCGCGCTTCTCAGCCCTCGCTGCAATTGACCCGTCGATGTGGACTCAGGATACGACACTGTCGAGTCTGATTGGTCCGGACGGAGCTCCGATCATGGAGCATCTCGACTCTGCCGAAGATGACGATGATGAACGTTCCAGGATGCTGGACTGCCTCAAGTTCAGCGAGGCTGAAATCGAGTATGTCAAGACCTTCCAGAACAGCATCCGCGTGCATGAACCTGCAGGGTTCTTGGGTGAGCAATTTGAGCATTTCTTTCAACTGCGGTTTGATACAGTTGTGGGCAATTACTGGCATGACCATGATGTTGCTGTATAGGAGTCAACATCTGTATGCTTTACAAAGATTATACTAGCTTCCTATGTTTCTGAATTGGGCCTGAGAAAGGAGGCCACAAAATGCCGATAAATCATCCTGTAATTGTATAATTAGTCTTACCATTTGCTGTAAAGTTGAAAAAGGCATCCATCCCTAGAAAGGGCAATCAACCAAGGCCTCCAGCGCCCCAAGCAGAATCGAGCGCAATAGTCTATCCGCAGTGGCAATTGGCACTTGCTGAGCCCTTGGCCTTAGAGCATGGCAGCTCTGTGGAGCTTACCCAGTCCATCGTCGGCTTTCAGGAGACTGAATGGACCAAAATCCTAAAGCAATGCCCGTGCCTTCTACCTCCTCAACTTTCTTGGCACTTGCTGGGTTCGAAGGCGCAACCCATTATGTTGAAGAAATTTGCTGGTGAGTTGGAGGAAGGAGTGTCCCACTTCAAGATCATTATCATCGGCGGTCAGTTCATGTTCGGAACTGGGCGGTGGAAAGATGGCAAACCCCGCCTTGGGATGCGTGGAAGTTGGTCCAATACATCCACCATGAGCTGGACATTTTTCAACCTGGACACCAAGTCTCTTGAATTTGAAGACATCCTACACGCATTGGTGAACACGGAGAAGGAAATGGTGCTGAAGTTGCAGTGGAGCCAGCTGCCTGGTCGCAGCCACGGATGCGTCATCGGCCAAGAACACATTTTCCACGAAATCAGTCCAAAGAAGCCTGAACAAGTTGAACAAGTGCCAACACAAGCAGAGACTCGTTCATTCATTTACGTTCCCAAAGGCGGACGCTTTCTGGACGGACAGGCGCTGCAGACGGGGCGGGAGACCTCCGAGTTGCGGGAGAAGTTCCAACTCTTTGACGTCCAGCTCTTGGAGAATTCCGACCAAAAGCCGCTTCCATGGGCATTGGATCCTAAGGATCCATGGCACTTCATCCATGTCAAAGCAAAGGACTGGGATCAAGTTCCGCCGGAACCTGGAACTTGCTCTTGTTTGTGTGATTGGTGCTTTCCCACAAGGTTAGCAGGTTATAGCAGTCTCTCTCAAGATCCTGACTCAGATGATCGAACTGTGCAGCGGATGCCGAATGACTGAACAGCAATTCGACTTGCATGTTCTCCATGCTCAAGTATCCAATGAACTTGTGCTCAGGAGATGGATAATAGCATTTGACAGTTTCACAGCTTTGCTTGCACCCGACTTGCAATGGAAACAATGAGCACTCGATGAAACCAGCACGGTGCTTTAGTGATCTCGCGGAGCAGAAGAGGTTCTTCCTCTTCATAGCAGCAATTAGGAGAGGCATTGCCGGAGCAAAATGTGTGCCCAGAGAATAGTGTGCTTTCGCAGAAATAGACACATGTTGGAAAAGGTCGCTTTCTCCTTTCACTCTTGGAAGTGGAAACCTCTTTCTGATAAGAATACAAAACGTTTCTCACAAATAGTAGAGTCTTAATCATATCGTCGTCCTTCCTGCGCCTGAGGAAATCAACATGTGAACCATCAACGCACCTACCCGGCTTCGCGCAACACCACGGTGCTGCTCTTGGCCTCGAAGACGAGCTTCGCCGACCCGTGGGATCTGCGTCAGAAGATTGATGAAGCTTTCCGACGACCGTGAGCACATGCAGTGATCTCCGATCCGTGGAGTAGGTGGCTTTGGTCTCTTTTGGCCTCTTTTGGAGAGTGGAGAACATCTATATCTTCTCGGCTTGGCTCCAAGCAACCGTTTAGCTGAGAGAGATTCCATTCCTCAGCAGGCAGTAATGTCTCGTGATTCTCTCGTGTTTCCTGTTGCGCATGAAGAAGGACATCCCGATGGAACTGAAGGAATTTGCAGTAACTCCTCTCCGATGCCAGGAGGCTGACACTGACGGTTCAGAGCTTTGTGGCTAGCTCACCTGGCCTGTTGACGATGAAGACGATGAAGACATATAGGCCGAAGAACGCGAAGAGTGAGTTTTTCGCAGTCCCTGCTGGCTGAATTGGAGGCACGAGTTCTGCAAGTTCCCTGGCTACTGCCCCATCTCTCGACGGCCTGGTTGTGCAACGTGTGGAAAAAACACACACTGCCGGCTCTCATGTCACTTGTCACTGGTTCTTGTTGTTTTTCGTCCAGTATGCGATGCCTCTATTCCGCACTTTTGGCATCTGCAGCCAATGTAGCATCACAACCGAAACTTGAGACCTCAGCACCTCTGCTGAAGTTTCTTTGAGAAGTCTTCCGACAGCTATGACTATAGTCAAGTTGTTTCTCTCTTAGAGCAAAACCATCCCAAACCATCCTGGACAATTTGATGGTTTAAAATGATTTATAGATGAACACTTGGTTTTGAATTCCAGTCCAGCCAAGCTGAGCCTTTCTTCGACTTGGGTCCGACCTGATGCATGCGGTGTAGAGTGACACGGGTCCGGACTGGCTTCGCCATGGTTTCCATCACCGCCGCAGTGCTGCTGGTGTTATTTCCTTTGAAGAGTCTAGCGCTTCATGCCAGGAATGAGGTCAAACATGCAGGTCAAGCAGGAGAGGGTTGAAGAATTGTTGGTGCTGGTGTTTTGGCGATTGGAACCTGGTGGGAGGGTGATGGATAGGTTTTGAGAGGAGTCTTCCACATAGACAGAGGTGAGCCACTTGAAGGAAGAGACCTGCGCAGGGATCCCACTAGATCCCACCCAACCAGTTCTCATGTGTCTTTTTTCTCTATCTCACATGCACCATGAAGTATAGGGTGAAGAAGTGTGTGAAGATTGTTCACTCGATCCATATAAAACTAAAAAGGCAACCAAAGAGCGGGAAATTGAAAAGACATTAAAGAAAAATGAAGAAACACAAAAGCCGCGCAGGAATTCCCTGGGACTTGCAGAACAAGTTGCCTCCCTGGATGACCTCCATTACCGAAGGCTCCCACCAAGCGGTTGCCGTGCTGCTGGGGCAGTCGCTGAAGCCGGATGGCTCGGCTCCACAGGTTCTGCTGGATCGGGCTCATATGGCGAAGAAGCTCCTGGATGAAGGCGCCCAAATAAGCAACAAAAAGGACTTAATATTATGCCACAAAGATTAACAAACAACCTGACCGGCCTTGGTGTTGTTCCTTTTTTTGGACACAATAATGTTTTCGGAGGTCATCGATGTCATTTCCTTCAGCTCATTTTTGTGAAGGGCTGATTCATACTGATTCACATTATGTTGTTATTTACATGTGTTTTTTTCGATCACATTTCTGTGAGGTACCGTGGTCAAGGTGATCGTCTCCGGTGCGGATCCCGCCGGTGTGGGCCACACCGAAGCCTCGTTGACGGCCCACGTCCTGACGCAGGTGGGGGTGCCCTTGGACGCCATCCTACAGGAGTCGCAGGCCACGACCACGGCGGAGAACGCGTGGTTCATGTTGCGGTGGATCCCGAAGAACACCGGCCGAGTGGTGATCATCACCTCGGACTTCCACATGGCGCGGGCCACCTACATCTTCCAGGAGAGGATGGAGGGGGGTGGGTTTCTTTGGAGATCCGGGGGTTAGAAGCTATGTAGTACAGTGACATATATAGACAGACACATCATCACATGGAAGTGGATCGATGGAATGGCCTTTGGGAAGACGATCTTCTATACTACCAGAGGGCGGTTTTTTCCACTTTGTGATGTGTTCGGCTGTGTTGCGAGACACACATCCAACCATGTGTGGGACCTAGATCCGCGTGCCGAACTCCTCCGCCGTTCGGCCATGCACCGAGCTTCTCAGGAGGTCTTTGCTCACTTCTATCAGACGATGGAAGACACCTACAGTGACCTGGTGAGAACTGCCGCCCTTTGAGCGTGGTCAATGGTGGAGGGGATCGTCCTGGAATGTGGTCAAGTGCAAAGGGCGCATTGGGGTCGAGAGGGGTATAGGATGGTCAGGTTCGGATAGTTGTTTCACCCGGGAGCGCTTGGCATCGGAATTCATTCATTTCCCTCCGGCGCCCACCGTGCTGGCCCGCTTTGCACCGACCAATTTCACTTGAGCAGCTTCAAAAACCTCTATGATGAAAAGTGTGCAAACTGTAATCTCACATTCTTTCGCGAAAGCCAAAACGCAGGTCGCGAAAGGTTCGCGAAAGCCCCGCGAAAGAACCCCAGAAGAACAGCGTCGCGAAAGCTTTCGCGAAAGTCGAATTTCTTGTGCATGTCGTGTTGTTTATGTGGGTGACCATATTTTTATGCAGGCAGCCGCAGCAGGCCAGCCAGCCAGCCAGCCAGCCGCAGCAGACCAGCCAGCAGCAGCAGCAGCAGCAGCACTGACACTGAAGAGCAAGTGTTTCAGGGGAAAATCGAAAAGCCCAGACGAATTTCCGCGAAAGCCGCGCGAAAGCCTCGCGAAAGAACCGCGAAAGTCGAAAATATCCGGGAAAGGTATCTGGCCCCAGCAAAAACTTTCAGCAAGTTTTCCTCCTCTTCTGATGACAACAATAATACTTGAACGGTGCTGCTACAACTCCTTGTGCCTGGATGTTGCCGGAAAGAAATTTGTTCAGTTTTGACATATCGGATAACTTATATAGATCAATCACTTTATTGTACAATATCCCAATCGAATTTCCCAATCGAAAAAGAATCGCCGCGAAAGCCGCCGCGAAAGCCCCACAGAACACCACACCTTCCGCGAAAGCCAGAATGCAGGCCGCGAAAGCTCCGCGAAAGCTTTGCGAAAGCAAACCTGGATTATACAAAAAAGTAATAGGGGCTTTCGAAGCTGCTCACTTGAGGAGACGATCCACGATGGAAGAGTGCCTCGAAGAGGTATCCCAGATTGGAATTGGTGCAAGCTCCCACGGCGAGTGCCTTGGCCGAAAACACGTTGCGACCCTTTGCCGCAGGGGAACAAACAACTCCTATATTTTATGAGAATTATTATAGCATCTCGCATGGATCAAGCTCCCAAATCCTCCACCTCTACAAATGTATACGACTATTGAGAAGTCTTGTCCGTCCAGCCTCTCACTTTCCAAGCAGGTCTCCTGAACGATTTGGATGAGGATCACCCAGCAGTTGCCCTTCAAACCCATTCGCTCAATGAAACCCATCGGATGTACCGGCCATGGGCGTGCTGGCCATGGCGTCAACTTGCTAGTCTCACCGACGAACGTCATCACGTGGAAGTGGATGGAGACCATGGACCCATTGGATGACGATTCGGAGAGCATACCAAACAGGTGGAGTTCACTCCACGTCCATGTGATGTGTTCGTCAGAGGGTAAAAAACCATCCATGTTAGTCTTCAAAGTTTTAGAGTATCCTCCTCCATGGTTTTAGACTAGTGTCCACTTCCATCTTAGTGCGGAAACTTGGATTTTTGAACCAACTCTTTGGACATCTCCCAAACTGACATGAGAAAACCTCTCGCGCAGACTTAGAAGTTTCAGAAACTCGTCCAGCTGTGTATGGAAACATGTGGAAACTATAGCTATCCAGTTGTTTCCTCAGATGTTCTTTTTCTTTATGTTCTTTTCTTTTTCAGTACTTGAACCTTTCTTGGGATCTGAGGTTTCTGTGGCAGCGATGCGAGTTTGAACAGGGACAACGACCCCAAAGCCGCCTCTTGGGCATGTCATGGCGCATGATGGCACATGTTTAAAACTCATCGGCTTTTGGCCCTTTGCTCGTAGTTATATTAGGCACGTTCCTGAACGGTCAAGATTCATCAACATTCGATGTGCTGCAGCGTGTGCACCACTTGTCAAGAGGAACAACCAACTGGTTTGCCCCTCTCGTTGTTTTTGCCTTCCAGCTGGGCACTGAAGACCTGCCAAGCAGTGAAGGTGAGGAAGCCTTCACACCTGACCTTCACCATCATGATATGGGTACCCAACACCTGACTGGTGCAATTCGTAGGGAATGAAGGAATGACCCCCGACCCCAACCGGTTAGAAGATTCCTTAGGACCCCCAGCCATCCTGACTTTGAAACAGTCAGATGCGGTGACAAACTGTCAAGGACATCCATATTTCACTCCATGTCCAACCCGGTGCTTTGGGATCATTTGTTTTGCTCCAAACTACCAACTCGCCACCACCAACCAAATTTGGGCACGTTGCTCGAAACATACTTTGGACTACGACCTACCTCCTCGACCGGTCGAGGACATCAATTCCTATTCCTTGGCCAAGCGCGCCCGGGACGAGCTGCGCTTCTTAGCCTCGGGCGAGGTGACCAACTCCCTCTACGGAGAGCCCTTGAGCCACATCCTGACGCTCGGCCGGACGCGCGTTCAGCGAGGACGGAGGACGGGCAGGACGGACGGCTTTCGGAGCAAGGGACTGAGCCCCGAGGAATACCGTCAGAGACGATGAAATGGAAGGAAAACCGTTGGTTTTTGGTTTTTGGTGTGTGTGGGTGTGTGTGGGTGTGCGGGATCTTATTTTTTTTGGCGAGAGTTTCGTGGTCGTTGTTCTCATGGTTGATGGCTTGTAACCTTTCTTTTAAAACTCTGGAGATGTTTCAGGTATTCTTGATGTGGTTCGATGTGATTGCTAACATCTTGCAACTCGCCAAACCATCGTTGGCAACCCTCGTTGTGAGGTACGTGTGGCCCATTCAGATCAACGTGACCCAAGATCCGAACAACAACCAGACCTATCACACGGCCCTGGCGCAATCCATGACCGTTGCAGAGGCCTTGTGCCAATGCGTCTCGCCCCCCAGCAGGGACGGCGCGGCGGCCGTGCCGTATCCCTTGAGCTTTCCCATCGCCGAGTCCTCGCGGAAGCCGTCCGAGTGGCACGAGATCTGCCCGGAGGTGCGGACGGTGATGGCGTAGAGGTCGAGGCCGGGACGACCGCCCATGGACCGGCCTTTGCCTCTGCCTGGATCCGGGTCGGTGGAAGTGGAATTCCGTTTTGGGCCACTGGCAGTGGGAGTCTTTTGATTTGGGGCCATTTGGGGCTCCGAAGTGGCCATGACGGAAGATGGGGGGATTGTTTGGCAGATGGACGAAAAGTGGACCAAGAGAGAGTATTTGATGTTGTCCGATTTGTCGGGAAATGTTGATCTGAGTCCACAGTGTGAGTCTTCAACTTGGTGCGCCGCAGACATGGGGCTGCACGCGCCATTTTTTTGCGGAAAAAGAGCTGTTCAGAGTGCAGGCACAGAATATCACAGAATCGTACATGGATCACAATTGGATCACTAAGTGACGTTGAAAACTTCTTTGGATTTTGCCAAGAGCACCTGTCCTTTGGATTATTTCGAATCTCACTGCAGCCATTGTGCTGACTCAAGTCGCGACACAGGACACGACTGTCGTCGGTCATGTCTGACGCAGTGTCCACCGTGTCGCTGCCGTCACCCGCGGCCAGCGTAGCCGAGTCGGCCGAAACGGACACCACCGTGCTCCAGGCGTGGAGACGTCGGCCGAACCGGACTGCGTGGGGAAGGTGGCGGATGAAGAACCGGTCCAATAAACATAACGTGGAGGTGATCCAAGGGCATCCTATAGGGCCTAAACATTATACAAGCTCTGACAGTCCCAATTCAGACAATAAGCGTGGTTGTTGCTTGCATGCCCCCTATCTATAATGTTTCTTCCCTTCCAATATTTCCACACTGCCCTGGATCTCACCACCACACCGCTGCGGCCGCTCCGCTCGGCCCGGTCCTGGGAGGAGTCCTTTGAAGAATCCTATGTGGAGCTCGAGGAGCTCGGTCGAGGCAAGGAGACGGGAAGGAATTCAGGTCGGCGACGGCCGCATGAAGCTGTGACTTGAGGCTGCAAGGCGAAACAGACATGGTTCCACTTGTGGACGGATGTCTGGTCGCACGTCCGGTGTTTCGGGGGTCTGGTCGCACGTCCAGTGTTACGCTTCGGACCCGCCACGGCGCGGACCCTTCGGACCCGCCACGGCTCGAACGCTTGACGAGGTGAATTCGGCCTCGTCCGACGTGCCTTCCACCGAAAGACTGGGAAGCAAGTGGCTGCCGCTGGGACCTTTCATTCCGACCGAGAGACGGTGGACCACCGAGCGCACGTCGTCCGGCGGAGAACGCGCGCGCGCAGACTTGGGGAGGCGCGCTTAAGGCGGAGTCGAAGTGAACCCAAAGGATCAAAGCAAGACGGATCGCGAGTCGTTCATTCCTGTAGACTTGACTGCTAGCAGCTTCTTTTCTTTGCATTGTTGCAGCTCCATCTCCCACCGAACCGCCGCGGTCGCCCGAAGAGTCCGGCTGAGGTGAAGCACCTGCCCAAGACGGCGAAGAGCGCGGAAGAAGTGGCGATTTTGTCGCAGCTCACCGGCCATGACGCTCGGTCGATCAGCGAGCGAGCGAGGTACGGCGGGCGAGCGCGCGAGCGCGGTTGCCGGTTCGGGCAGTTAGAGTGAAGAATGAGCAGATAAGACCAGGTGAGTTCAGTTACACAAATGGGATTTCATGCGATCTCGGGGATCGTTTTTCTTTTTGCCTGAGATTATTGCGCGATGAGAAGGTTATTTCGAGGATGTATAAGTAAGCTTTGTTTGCTGTGTGGGCAACCGGGGTAATGGTCCAAGTCCTTCAGCTCCTTTGCTGCGTTCCATGTCTGACAATATAGGCTGTTGTTAACGGAGTGTCAAAGGACGCTTGACATGGTTCATCATGGTTCCAAGGATTTCTGGTTCCGGAAATCCTCGTGAACTGTTTTTGGATTGGGTGGCACGAAGGAAGCATGTCGTGCAGTTTTCGTGAAATCTCCTGCTCCAAGGAGAACATTGCCCGATTGTTGAACTATTTTGAGACGGAGCAGGAGGGGCGAGACCAAACTGTCTATAGTTTGCTGACCAAAAGATGAACATAATTCAAATTGTATCCTCCAACGTTGCAAATAATCCCAAAAAGTGCAATTGTCTTGTATGTCTATTGTGTGATTGCTAGGTTGGCTGCTGTCACAGCCATCCAAGCTCGACCACGAAACAAACCAGTCAAGTATGTTTTATGGTAGCTGTACTCGATTGAACAAGCATAGATGCTCACAGCAGCACCGTGGCTAGAGGAGATTCCCACCATTTCTGGTTAGTCCAATCCAAATGCTTCGTTTCAGGAAGATCAGCCGGAGATGCTTGGTCAAATGCTTGTTTCTGCCAGGAGCTTCTTGTGGTTTTGGAGCTTTGCGATGAAGGGCCACTGAGTGACTACTTGATCAAGCATTTGAAGGCCGCTGCGCAGTTCCGGAAGAGAAGCGGGGGGACGTGAAAGGAGGTTCCGCGCTCAGTGTTGTCTACAACAGCTTAATAAATCCACAATTTGTGCCTCGGTCTTGGTCTATTTACATAGATGTCTATATATGCAGTCTATCTTATTTATGTACTGTTTCATACCATTATCATCACTTCGTGGCATGAATATCGACTGAAACCGATGGTTTTCTGGGCCGGGATGTCCGTGAAGGGAATCTTGAGCGCTCCAAACTCAGCTGTGACAGTCCTTGGCACTAGGCAAACACAGCGCATTCTATGTGTGACCACCATCCATTGGTGTTTGCTTACTCTGTTACACCGCACTGTTTTGCACATCTTCAGCCTTTGGTCAGTCGCCGACTTGTTACACCGAAAAGAATCGAATCATATCGAATCACATTACCAGTCTTATCCTTATCCAATCTTGGTTCCGAAATTTGTTCACTCTATGGTGTACAATACCGCATTTTCTTGGACAGGAGAGACCTCGGATCAAACATGATCTAACCTGCCCTTTCTTGCCTTGGTCGAAATACATAATATACTCATAAATGTACATTATACTATATTACTATATTCTGTCTATATAGAACTGTTTCATGATATATATTATCATCAGAGATCAAACCTTTCAGTTCTTTTTTCCGGATCAACCTGTCCCGAACAGGGCCGACCTCTGAGTGATGAAGAGCGCGCTGCTCTGTTGCAGTGTCTCAGCGGCATTTTTTCACGATGAGATCCCATGAGAATTCTGAGAGCGTCGAATGGTCTCAGCGAATGATTTCTAATGGACTCCGTGTTCACCAATCAATATATAATTCACACGATTCTCCGTGTTGGAATCGTTCTTTTCCAAGAACACAGCGGGATCAGACTATAGAAACAGAACCTATATTTGCTGATGAAAAACACTGATTGTCAAAGCATCCTGACGGAATGAAAAGGTACCTGATTGTCAAATTCAAAGACCAGTAAAGCCGGAAGTTGGAACTCCAGGCAACTCCTCTTGGCTGTGCAGCATTGCCATAAGTCCGGCTTTGTTCACAATGACCTCAAGTTCGACAACATCATGTGCCTTGTTGGCCTCGAGTTCGTCACGCAGAGGGTGAAGACAGAGTGTTGTTTTCTTTCTTCGCTTGGCTTCAGGGCTGAAATGGCCAACAAGAAACACAACCAACCATGCATATCAAATTTGTATATCAATTTGCCTTTTTTTGCCCATATGCAGCTTTTCACGGGCCATTCATGCTCCGACTGAAAAACTCGAAAACTTGTTGAAGTGTCCAAGTTCTCCAGATGTAACTCCTGCAATTTGATGCGACCCATCCTTTCTACTTGTACCACCAGTACCCTATATAGTATACCTTCCCGTTCCCGTCACCAAAGCCGCTTTCGCTTCTGCAGGTTGGCCTCCGGCGCTTCGTTGCCGAAGCTCAAGTTGCGCCAAGCTGAGCGCAGTGGCCCGTGGATCGCAGTTTGATCCGACCATGTGTCGGACCGTGTGTCGATTGAGACGCCGTGGGCCCGAGGATTGACTTTGGAAACGCCTCTCGCGCAGATGCAAAGAGAAAACCCGCCGAGCCTTGGGCGCAAGTTGAGGAAAGCGCAAGGTTCTTTTTGGGGGAAGGAATCCTCCATGGTCCACTTGTAGACAACCACAACATCCTGTACCATTAGCAACGATGGCTTTTCGACATTCATTTCCACACAGATGTGGCAGATGTTTCATGCTTCAAACCTCTGTGGCATCCGGTGCTCAACATCAGAGTTGTTTCCGATCGGCGCTAGGATGATATTTGGTTCTTGGGCTTGATCTTCTACCAGCTGATTACTGGCCAGCCATTCTTCCAGATGGACAACGACGAACTGGACTCCCTGGAGGAACAGGGGGTCTATGTGGATCCTGGAAGGATGCAATGCGATGCCTACTACGTGCAGCTCCGCCTTTCCATCGCAAAGCGCTTTGCGAACAGCGCCCCGGCGGGCGGCGTTGCGATGTGGGTGCGAGGATGTGACGGGGGTTGGGATGACAGAGCCTCTAGCAAAAACCAGGAAGTCGAGATGACTTAGTTGGACTCTTTGTTTGATGGGGAGTTCTTGTGGCACAGTGTTGGGATTCAAGCCATTTGTAAAGTTTTGAGGGACTTAGGATCATTGGGGCCAGTGGTGCAGTGTGTAGTCATCTCAATACTATTTGTGGCCTCGATCGACACACTATTGGGTTGAGTGGCAGCGTTGTTTTTTGTATAGCTAGTATAGTTTGTGCTTCAATTGTTGAAAGAACTGATCAATGTAAACCGTGGAACATGATGGAACCGTGTTAAACCGTAAACTGCAGGTGGAACTGATCAATTGGAAACTGAGCATTTGGTCCTGTGGAGGTTTTTAAGCGAAAGCACTGAAGGAGGCACCGCAAGGATGCCATGTAGCAGTCACCGCGAAAGCGAAAGCAAAGCGCATGAGCTATACATAGTCTCCTTTATTGCACGTACCGCAATAGAAACATGTGAAAGAAACCATTGCATCGCGAAAGCGAACCGCGAAACGCTTCGGCACCCAAAGCTCCCAAAGGCGAAAGCGGAGGTTCCCGAAAAAGGAAGGGTTTGTTTGG